TCTAGAAAATAATTTTATTTTGGCTACACAGCATTTAACTCCATTCTACCTCCCAATTCCCCACCATAGAAACAGCATAGTATAATAACAGAAAGTGTGGCAGGTCAAAGGTCGAAAAGGAATATGGCTGCAGGCCTGACATCCGTCATTTATGGAGTCTGTCATTTCCAACATTAATTTCTGCTGGTGGTTTTTACAGCAGAATTTGGTTTGACCTTCTGGAAAAGGGCCGTAAGGCAGCGGGACCGATACAGTGCATAGCTTCTCTTCTGCTCTTGCTTGGGATGAGCCTCCAGCCACCGGGGAACTTCCCCAGAGCTTCTGGGAGGGAGGGAGCGCTCGGCATCCTCCCCATGTCCCTCTGGGGCCGCCAGGCCAGGTCGTCCTAAGCCTGGGCAAACATCCACCTTTTGGCATGTCAGGTATTGACCACGTGGGAGGGAGCCAGCCCAGAGCCCTGTGCCAGGCCGTTACTTGATCTCCTCACCTTGCTCCTTCCGCTCCCGTGATTATTTGGCCGGTCCTGCCATTTGGCATATGATTAATAAGATGGATCATGGCCTCTTGGCCAGGGGAAACCACCTGCCCTTTGCAGAATAAATCTCCCTCCCAGGCTGTGTCCACACAAAAACTACGGTGAGCGCCTGGGCAAGTCCCTGCCGCTCCCTTGGCCAGGGTTCCTGGAGGCCTCCTTCTCCCTGGGGCTGGGAGAGAGCGGCTGCCCCAAGGTCACCCAGCTGGCTTTCATGCCCAGGGCAGAACTTGAACTCACCGTCTCCCGGCTCCTAGCCTGTTGCCAACACCACTACACAGAACTGGCTCTCCAACCAGGATGAGAGCCCTGGAAATCCCCAGGCAAGGCAGGAATGGGAGCATCCCTCCCTTCCCAGTCACACTCACTCACACTCACACGCACGCACACACCCTCCCCTGCAGGGCTGCTGCCTGCTGAGATGCCTTTGCTGTGTCCGTCTTTTAGGGCCACGTCCCCCAGAGACCATGGGGGGGGGAGGCTTCTTTGGAAACCTAGGAAGGTGCCTGGTGGGCAGCTCTGGGGAGACTCGCCCTGGGGGGGGGGGGGCGCTGTATTTTAGCCAGGCACGGGGCTCCGTCAGCTGTTTTGCAACTGAAACTCTCTTGTGGTTGGAGATTGCATCAAAGCGGTGGTTAAGGCAGAGGCTCCTAAATCACTGGAGGGGGGGGGCAATCCTGGGCCAAGGAGGCTCTCCTGTGGGGCGTGTGTGTGCGTGTGTGGCTGGCAGGCTGAGCCAGGAACCGGCAGGTTGGCAAATACCCCGCGTTGCCCCAGCCCTTCCTGCCTGGCTCTTGCTCACTTTGTGGCCCGGATTGCTCCAGCGCTTTCCCGGCTTTCCCAATTCTTTTGTCACGGTCACAAGGCGCCCAAAGGGCAGTGAGACTGGGGCCCTTCGTCCCACCGCCAGACCCCCAAGCTGCTCTTCCGTGGCTGGGGGGAAGCAGTGTGGGCGCATACGGAAGGGGACCTAGCATGGAAAGCAATGGCTAAGAGGCCGTACGCCTGTCGCTCCCCCCCCCCCCGGTTCCTCTTTTGCGTCCAGGGCGGAGGAGGAGGCTCAGGCCAGCCACTCTGCAGGCAGGCTGGGAGGGGGGGGCACTCTGCAAGGTGGGGAGCAAAGGCCGAATGTGGGGCCCAGAAACGCAGCTCCCTCTGAGGCTGGCAAAGGCTTGGCGTGCGAGGCTGGCAGCCCGAGGAGAGCCCTTGCTCTCCCCTCCCCTCCGCCACACGGCAGGGGGAGGGGGTGATCCCCTCTCCCAGGCGGCAGCTGCTGCTGGACACACAGGGCCTGGTGGGGGTTTCCTCCGGGGCGAGAGAGCCACCAAGCCAAAGTGGGACCTTCTGCTGAGCCCCCACATTCCGTGGCTGTGCAAGCTGGGGACGGGAGAGATGCCAGAAACCCCCCCCTCCCAGTAGCCAGTGGCCCCCTGGTGTAGGCTCTGTGTGTGTGAGAGAGAGAGAGAGGGAGGGAGGGAGGGAGGGAGGGAGGGAGGGTG